TGAGCGTTCTTGTTCAGGTCTCAGAAGCTCCTTCGGGAAGACGGATTTCAATTCTGACCTGAGGTTGAAAGGTCACACATGAAGCAAAAAACAAGAACAGTGTTTGAAGCAAAAGGAACAGTCTTTGCAGAATCTCTGAGGCCAGAAAGATCTTGAAGTGGTCGATCAGAGGAGAGAAATGGTAATGTTGAGATATGTAAGGATAGGGAGGGCCAGCATGAAGGACTTGAAGGCTTCTGGGAGCCTGGCTTTTATCCTGAGGCCAGAAAGCCACCACAGCTTTAGCATGGATGAGACCAGGTAGCTGAGGTACAGCGTGGAGTTTGAGGCTAGGCTGGGCTGCTGGGCAGCTTTCGGGCAACTGTGAATCAGAGTTGAAACCTCTGGGTTCTGTCTGAGCTCTGACCACTGAACATCCTTGCCTACTTTCATTCCTGGTACATTGCTGGGCACAGGACCCCTTCTGATGAGGACATTCTGTGCTTGCTCTGGGCCCTGGTTCTGGTGTCTCCTTTGGTCCCTGGTGTCTGGGGAAGGAGGCTGGCTGCCTCTGTTTCCCAGAATAGTGGTGGCCTCTGTTGCCAGAGCCTAGGCAATAAGGGACAATTCCTCTTGCAATGCTCTAGAGGGACAGCAGGTGGCGACCTCACCTCTAGAGGGGCAGAAGGAGCGGGGGCAGACAGGACCCTCTGAAAGGCAAAAATGATCCAGGGAACCCTAACAGCCCATGTCAAGGTTCACCTCTGCCCCCAAGACATGGACAGCCACCCCCACTTCTGAGGTGAAGGAGGGATCACTGACCTGCCCAATGACGCAGAGCAAGCCTGAAGCTTGGCTGGCCTTCGGTCTGCTGTCTAGAGAAGGGCTCAACCTGACAGTGGCCCTGGTGCCCACCGGTTTCTCTTAAGCAAACCATTTCCAGCAGAAACTAAGCCCCAAACCTTTCTGTTCCAGGGCCATAAACCAAGTTATCAGTGAGATCTTTATGAGGCTTTCATCCTGGGCACCCCACCCCATGAGGCCCTGGTGTGAGAGCAGCCTGGAGTGAGAGCTTCCACAGGGAAGAGGGAGGAAGGAGGGGCCCAATAAACAGCCACACCCAGAGATATGGGGGCTGTCCAAAGGAAGAGGCTGGTTTAGGATAGGCAGGGGCCACGCACAGTGGTATTGCCATCTGCTGCTACCAGTTCTGGTGGGAGACTGGGGCCTAGGGGCTCAAGGTCAGATGGCAGATCAGAGGTGGGGGTATGGGGGCTACCGTTTCAGATTGGAACTCTTAAGTAGGGTTACAATAGCTTTAGCTGTGGAACTGAGGGAGTCACATCCATGACGCTATATCTTCTGACGAAGGGGTCCACCTAGGGGTGAGGGTGAGGGGAGCCTAGAGGATCTTTTGCATGAAGAAGCCTGAGGAGGAAGAGGAAGCAGCAATTTGTTTAAGCAAAATCCAGTGTCAGGGCCCAGTGTTGGGGTTCAGCCCCGGCCTATCGAGGGGTCCCTTGAAGGAGGGAGTGAGGAATTGAGAGATGCTAGATAGGATATAGACAGAGATGGAGAGAGAAGATAGAGTTACATGATAACTTCAGGAGGGTCCTGGGTCAATACCCAGCAGCTTCGAATTTATTTCTAATGGGCTTTTTAATACACTAGCAAAGGGAGAGGCAAAAGGCCTCCCCCTTTCAAGATCAAAGGACACCGCACAACCAAGTGTAGACCCTTCAAAACACCTGGTAACCCTGCCCTATGGCAAAGCATCTTGTGATGAGGGCCTTGACGTATAAGACACCTGGTAACCATGCCTTTGCACCCTATTATGCAGCCTTGGAGAGCAACATAAACTCTGACCTTTCTGACCTTGAGTCAAAGCACAAGTTGGAATCTTTGTGGGCTCCCATAACCCAGCTAACAAGCTGTGGGATGGGGAGGCAGACACTCATTGGGGGTCACTCTCTGTGCTTACCAGTCAACCATCTCTAGAGGGAAGAAAAAAACTGCCAGATAGGTCATTGACCCCCTGGGTGACCTCGGGAAGGGGACTTTACCTCGCTGAAAAAGAAAGCGGGGATAACTGTGGCCTCTCTTTCTCTGGGCAGTGGTGAGGATGGGTGGAAGTGACGTATGCTTGGCGTGAGGCCTCACCCTGGGCACCTGCTCCGTGAGTAGAGTAGGAGGGCCACTGTCGCAAACCAGGCTGCCATCTCAGGGAGAGACAGGAAGGGCGGTGCATCTCAGGAGTGCCCGAGGGATGTCCACCTGGGGTCCCCTGACTCTTCTCTTCCCTGCTGCAGTCCCCTGCTACTCTGACCTACCTCAAAGCTACTACCAGACGCTGACTATGCCTCAGCCACTCGGGACCGCTGTCCGACTTCTCTCTCCAGGTGTGAGGGGTAGGGGGAGGCTCTCAGATGGCTCCTGCGCCTCACTCAAGACTGGGTTATCAGTTCTAGGGGATATATGCTTTCCCTGAATCCACCGGGCCTCTGTTCATACTGACCCTTGGACTACAGTACCCCACTCACCAGGCCCCCCCCCGACCGTGTGCCACCTCCTTCTGCAGGAATCCTCCAGCCTCCTGTACCTGACCAGAACCGAGAAGTAACATCCCCTTCATTGCGAACATGATTTCACTTCCGGCCCCCAGCCCTGGAGGCACCCTCAGGCAGGGGGCCTCGTTCCATGCTGAGCATGATACCAGCACGGGTGTGTAGGTCAGTCTGTACCTGGCAAATGGGTGAACGCAGGAACAAATGAATCTCTAATCTCAAATGAAAAGCCTCTTGACTGGGTGTGAACTAGAATACTCTTGGTGAGAGGCCACCAATCCTCTGCCCTCCCCGGAATGAGATCCCTCGCTGGAGATGTCCAGCGATCCCTTGCACACCTCCCTTGGTGGGACACTCACTCCCTGTAACCCCCTACTTCACGCTCACCTACAATGAGCCAGGTTGCTCATTCTGGTCAGGTGGGTCAGACTCCATTCCTGCAGCTCCCCCACCCTTCAGGTCCCCACCCTCCCTTCCAGGCCTTCCTTCACTTCCCACAATAGGAGCAGCCCTAGTCAGCCCAGCTGAGAGAAAATTCCACCCTCCTGGGCTTCATCTTTCGCCCCTGTGTCTCTATCTCCTGGTTGGGCTCTCAGTGGAGAGCCCAGACGCCAGGTGTCTTCTAACCTGGAGCTATGGTGGCCTCCCCTTCGGAGACAGCTGTGAGCGCCACTGTGTCTACACTCAGCCTCGTTATGAAGCATGAACTGGAGCTTTGCCCATTTCCTCTCTGGGCCTCCCTGCTTCCATCCATTCAATGGGCAGGTTCCCTTGAGCAGGAAGGGGACCGTTTAGGCTTACTGCTGATTCTGATCAGGGACACCTTCTTGGGCAGGTCATCTGTGCAGTCACACAGGGTTCAGCTTCAAAGGAACCTTGTGCTTGGCTGAATCCCACCACCATGAAATTCCAGGTAATTTCTGAACAACAGACCCGGCATTTTCATTTTGCACTGTGTCCCCCAGCAAGTTACAGTGTGACCGTGGCTCACCCGCCTGCCTTGAGGTGATGCCGACTGGCCCTGTAAAGAGAAAGAAAGCTGAACAGTTATGACGTGGTTCTGCCTTGCTTTGAGGGTCCACACACATCCTGCCCATCTCCTGGTGCTGGAACGGGAGAGAAGGTCAAATCTCAGAGGATTCTTTTGCACTGTCCCCTCCCTGGCCCTGAGCACCATGTGGAGGGGTCCTCATCTACTCTAACCTTCCTGACCCAGAGACATCTCCTTACCCAACTCTTCAGCCATGACCCCTACCCCCCACCCCTCTAGTCTCAACTACCCCCTCTCCTGTTCAAGCAGCTGCGGAGTGTCTGCCTGTTTTCGATGGAGTAGGGAAGAACACACAGACGTTTAAAATGCCAGCATCGGTAACCAATGAGGATTCATCAGCCAACTGCAAAAACACATTCCGCCCCCAGTCAGTTGGAGTACGTTGAATGTAAACTGCATCAGATAACAAATACTCAGGAATTTGTCCATGTATTTTAGAAATGCAGTCTGACATGTGTAGGGGTAAAAATGACATGAAGCCGGAAATTTGTTTTAAAATGCTTTAGAAAAAGGTAGTAGATGGGGGAGGGGGGAGGTGATAGAAACCTGCTAATTACAGAGGCTGCATGGTGGTGGGTTCGTGATGCGACTCTGTTTTCGTGTTTATTTGAAACATCTCGGCAACAAGAACAATAAGGGAAGGGAAGGAGCCGTGGAGAGTTTGTGAAGTTTCCCAAGGTGTCCTCAGAAGACCCCCCTGGCCCACACCTTTGAGAAATTTCTCTGTGGAGCCAAAAAGGGGGAAACACTCAGGAGCATGCAGACTGGCTATCTGCATATGCACATTTCCCACAGCTTTCATCTGGGACCCGAGGGGTCGTGACCCTTGTCCCCCCCCCCAAGACGCCCTCTACCTTACAGACGGAACCCCGTTTGATGTCAGCCTTGCTCTCCCCCTCACCTCAAGCTGGTGGTCACTGCTAACAGCCCCACAGGCTCACACAGCACCACCGTGTGCTCGGTGAGGCTGGCCTAAGGTCCCCCCCACCCCTCCAAGCCAGTTGCTCCACCTGTAACCCCGGGGGTCGGTGGTGGGGAGGTCCCCGCGACCACCGAAGGAGGAGTCGGAACATGAAGCCGCGCCTGGACCCTTCGATCCAGGCCGCGCCCTCTGGGTCCCCAGCCCCCAGGCCCATCCACCTCCTGCTTAGGGCGGCAATTTGTCTCCTTTTGAACCCCCTCGCCCGACGGGCTTCCCCCTTTGATTCGCGGCCCCGAGGCTTCCCCCCGCTTTGAAATGCAAAGCCGCCCGGCTGGGGCCGCGGACGGCCCGCGGCTATAAAAGGCCGGGGTGGGGCGGGCGCGGCGGCGGCCGCGGGTCCAGGTGAGCAGTCGCCGGTCGTCGGGGCGGCCGGCCGGCGCGGCGGCTCCAGGGCCCAGCATGCGCCGGGGACCCCGCGGTCACCATGTACGTGGGCTATGTGCTGGACAAGGACTCCCCCGTGTACCCAGGCCCCGCCAGGCCCTCCAGCCTCGGCCTGGGCCCTCCGACCTACGCGCCCCCCGGCCCGGCGCCCGCACCCCCGCAGTACCCCGACTTCGCGGGTTACACGCACGTGGAGCCCGCCCCGGCGCCCGCGCCCCCTCCGACCTGGCCCGCGCCCTTCCCTGCGCCCAAGGACGACTGGGCAGCTGCCTATGGCCCGGGCCCCGCGGCCCCCGCCGCCAGCCCGGCCCCGCTGGCCTTCGGGCCCCCTCCGGACTTTAGCCCGGTGCCCGCGCCTCCCGGGCCCGGGCCCGGCCTCCTGGCGCAGTCCCTCGGCCCGCCGGGCGCACCGTCCTCGCCAGGAGCACAGAGGCGGACACCCTACGAATGGATGCGGCGCAGCGTGGCGACCGCAGGCGGCGGTGGCAGCGGTAAGGACCCTTCTCCCGCCTGGGCCTCCAGACGGGTTCCTGGCCCTGGCAGGTGCCCGGCGAGGCCCAGGCCGCCCTCTCTTTGACCTCTTGCCCTGGCCTTGACTGACTGACTTCCCAAGAGTGTGGCCCACTACCACTCCTGCCCTGGGGAGTCATTTGTGTCGCCCTTCTTTAATCTGGGGGCTTGGAGAGCTTTGAGTAGGCCAACTGAATCCTTCTGTATAGCTAGGGAAAACTGCAACCCCGTGAAGAGAGGACATGGGACTGTGTGTCCGTGTAAGTGGCAAGGCCGGAATTGGAAGGCCAGACGCCGAGTCTCCGCAGCAGCACGGGCACTGGTGATCTTCCGTAGCTTCTGCCACCCCTAAACCCGCCACACATACACACACACACACACACACACACACACACACACACACACACCCCTAAACCTGCCACACACACACACACACATACACCCCTAAACCCGCCACACACACACACACACACACACACACACACACACACACACACACACACACACACACACCCCTAAACCCGCCGCACACACACACCCACCCAAGCACCTCTCCGCTGTGGGAACGCGCCCAGGTCACTTCCTCTCCAGGACCAACTGGCTCCCTATCCCACAGGGAAGAGACAGGATCCTATCCTTTGGTTGACCAAGCTCCCTTTGGTCGCCTGGGTCCAGGGGTCTCTACCTAGCCTCCCCAGGACTCTCCCTGAACTCTTGACCCCGGGGGAGGGGCAGTAGGAGCAGTTGGGAAGGTGGCTGCTGTTTGGCTCCTTAGCCTGTGAAGCTCCTGCCCCTAGGCAGGCCTCTCTGATCCACCCTCTTCAAAGGCAGGGGAGGGGGCTGGACAAAGGCTCAGCTTAATGAGGGACAGCCTGACCTTTATGGGTCCCCCCTCTTTGTCATGTAACCGGCTTTGCTTTAGCTCAGTAGTGACTCCTGTTGGCAGGAAAGTGAGCAGGATCCCTCATTGTCCAGATTGTGTTTGGCCTGTCCTGACAAAGGCCACCTGGCCTTGAGGGCGGGAAGCTGGCCTGCCTACTCTTTGATGTTCAGCCCCTCCTTCCCTTCCCCCAGCTGAGAGCAGGCCTGGAACTTCCTCTACCAGCTCTTCCTTCCCTCTGCTTATCCCACACACCCATCTCTGCCCCTGGGCAGCTGCTGGGAGGGTTTGATCAGTGGCTGCAGGCCCAGGTTGTAGCCACACTCCTTAGACGTCCCAGGGACACACATGCTCCGGTCTGACTCCAGGGATGTTTGGAGGGCAAAGCTGGGCCGCTCACTTCTGTGCCTTGAGTAATAGCAGCTAATACTGTGGAACTCTCATAAGACATTGCTGTGGGTGCTGTCTTCCACATGTTTGGAAGATGAGGAAACGGTGGTACAAAGATGGAAAAATACAGGCCCAAGGCCACAGCCAGGAACTGACGGGGCATACTGAACACCATACCTGTGTCCTAATCCTGTACAACCGATTCCCTGGATGACTCACCTTTTCTGGGTGTCATTTTATGGTCAATGAAACAAGGAACAAGGGAAGGTAACGTGGTGATATATATATATATATATATCCTGCTTCAAGCTACAAAAAAAGAGTTGAAAAGGCTGATGGGGAAGAACATGTTCCATCCTTTGGTAGACAGATGTGGGTGTGTTTGTGTGTGGTGGCCCTCTGAAGCCTTCCTTGGTCATGAGTGTAGGGAAGAGCTTCACACTGAGTGATAGGAGAGTGCCCTCTCAGCATCCTGGGGTCTGCTATGGACGTCTAAGAAGGAAGGCACATTTCTAATCTTCCACTAGCCACTTCCTGTTGGTCAGGTGGCTCTGGAGAGGGAGGAGGAGGTTCCCCTCAGGTAGAGCCTTGGAGCAAGGCCATCCATTGTGAAGCAATATGAGCAGGAAGGATCGGGCAAAATGAGGTAGTGAATGAATGGAGTCTACTATTGAGGTCACACAAACCTCGATACCTTTGGGCATGAACTTCCAAGCCCATCTCTACTCTCAGACAGCTGTCGCTTATGGATCATTTCCTGCATGCAGATAGAGCCATGGATATCCAAAGGCAGCAAGGGTTTTCTCTTAGCTCTGAGAGTAGAGTCTAGACTCTCCTCGTGGGAAGAGTCCTTCCCCTCCCCCTCTTTGGCTCAGTTTCTTCCTCTGGGCACACTGAAGAAGGCACAGGTTTCCAGAGGGGGCTCTTGTGCGATGATGTTGTTGTCTGGGACAGCTGAGGGAAGTTCACTGTGTGCCCCACCCTCCAGTGCCCAGCGACACTGGCCACACGGTCTTCGGCCTGCCACCTTTCTTCCTTCTTTCTGAGCTGCTGACATTCTAGAATGTCTGCATTGGACAGTTAAAGAGCAGAAAGAGGAAAGTGAGGTCCAGAGGCTATAAGGAATGTTCCAGATACAGATGAGTCAGTTGAAATTTTTTTATGTGGTTTCCCATCCTATTTAGGATGAACAGCACACTCCTTCCTCAGGTCTGTGAGACTCTATTGTAGCACCATGCTTGCTTCCCTCCCCCCTCTGGACCTCACCCCAGGCCACTCCCCTTGGCCACTGTGCTCCAGCACCCAACCCTCTTTCAATTCCTCAGGCCCGCCAAGTCTTGCTTCAGGTCTTGTGTACACATTCTTTTCCCTTCCCGCCGACTCTTTGCGTGCCCCGCTCCTGCTCACCTTCAGTCCCTAGCTGAATGAGAGGCCCTTTGTGATTCCCAAATCAGACTTACCACCTTAACTCCTTTTGATGACTTCTATTGGTGTCCTTTAAAACCTGACAAATTCCATTGTTCTCCTACTTCCATGTAGGTTTGCATGTTCTGTCCCCAAAAGGTCCGGAGCCGTGTCTGTCTGACCCAAAATTGCTTGGGGGGCACCAGCTCCGTGCCTGGCATCAATATGTGCTCAATGCATCCAGTTGGACGGATGAACTGGAAAGGTGAAGGGGCAGGAGGCATATCAGGAGGCCAGGGGAGGGGAAAGAGTCAGCTTCCACAAGTTTCTAGGGTCCCTCCCTGTGGGTTGGACCCGTGACTGTCCAGGCAGCATTTCAGGCTAGTGGTTGAAACTTGGCTGCCCTCCCCACAGTTGGTCAGTGCTCCTGACTATGCAATGGGAGTAGCCAAGGCCAGATTGTGATTTGATTTGGTTTTATTCTAAGAAAGGGTGCTGGACATGGGAGTGTGGGTGGGGCGGGCTTCAGTTAGGCTGCAATACATAGAGTGTTAGCTGGTTCTGAGGGAGCCGTACCGCTCCTGAAGCCGAGGTTGCAAATGATTGCAGGGGGCTCCCCGTTGTCTGCCTTGACGTTTGTTTAAATGTGAGTCTTTCTGTCAGGAGGTTATAGTTGTCCTTCACCAGAGGCCCAGTCTGACTCCTGCGACTGAACACTGATTTACAGGGCTGGAATATGTCTGCCCAGATGATGGGGTTGTTGGGGTGGGCTTTAGATCCTGTCTAACCCCCTCAGCTTCAGATGGGGAAAATGAGACACACAAAAGGATGAACACTCCCCCCCCACTGTCCCTTACTCCATAGCCACAGCCACTAACCTGAACTCTCACCTCTGACCTTTCGTGCATGCTCCACCCATCTGCCAAACCTCCCTTATTAGGGCCCATCACTGCTCAAGAGCAACCCCATTTCTGGATGCCCCGATTCTGAGGCATCTAGAGCCCTGTTGAGAACGGATCCTAACTCACTGTTGAAGACACTCTCCTGGCAGTTTGCTTAGAAGCCCAGGAACTTATTGGAGACTGTTAGAAGTCGAAGCTTGGGAGACTTACCTCTGGGACTGCATTTCTCTTAGATGCCACCTAGCCAGAGGCACATTAACTTGGATCATTTCTTTTCTCTCTTTCTTTCTTTCTTTCTCTCAAGAATTTTATTTATTAGCATGGGGAGGCGGTGTATGCCACAACACTGTGCGGAGTCCGGAGGACAACCGTGTACAGTCACTTCTCTCCTTCCACCTTTCCGTAGGCTCTAGGACTCGAACTTGGGTCATCAGGCTTGAGTAGTGCGTGCTTTTACCCTCTGAGCCTTTTCCCCAGCCCCTCACGTGGAGGATTTCTTGAAGCTGTGGTGTTTGTAAAGCACAGCCCAGCACTGGGTGGAGGGCCGATGCCACTCAGTGCCACTTCTTCTTGGCAGGTGCAAGCAGGCCTAAGCCTCCCACTTTCTGCATCTACATCCTGGGCCCTTTACCTGCCCTGCCCTCTCTTGCCTCTCCTGCATCCTTACCAGTTCAAATGCTGTGCCTTCTCCAGGGCCACCTCCCCCAGGAAACCCTTCTTGATTCTCCCCACTCCGAGTGCAGCCCTCGGAGTGAAGGGCAGTGATAGCCTACGGACAGCCTCCTGTTTTGGCAATCTCTATCATGTCTACTTCTGTCAAATTGCGTGTTTCTGCAATTTCCTATCTGTCATCCCATCAAGGACCAATCCTAATCAACCCCCTCGTGGCCTGGCTTGCACGTACTAGGGGTTCATCATGTAGTCGCTATGCAAAGCGCTCATACTTTACTTAGGTCTCATAACTATCCCAAGAGATGAAAGGGTCCATTATTGGACACATTTTACAGATCAAACTGAAGAGGCTTAGAGAGGCCCGGTGGCCTGGCCAAGCTCACACAACTAGGGTATGGCAACATACGGTGCTAGCCAGGATGCCCAGCCTGCCAAGCGCCGTCAAACAAAGCAACATTCTCTGGCCCACGATCTCTCCTCTGCTGCATGCTTTCCAGCCAGTGCCCATCCAGGTGAGGAGAAAGAGGCCAGCAGGGAGGAGCTGGGTGGGGTGGGAGGGAAGGAGAGGGGGAGAGGAAGAGGGAGCAGGAAGACTGTGTCTTTAAAGCTGGCTTTCCCTGCAGCAGGAGCCACATCTGACACCTCAGCTCTCAGATGTAGCTGGGAATGACCTAGTTAGAAAGTGGCTGGAGATCTTTGTGTTGTGGAACGTGTCCCCTTCCCCCAGCAGATC